CCCTGGGGATGTAAACCGCTCTTCGGAAACACTTCGTAAGCAAAGCGAGGAGTAGCGAACTGGAAATGCAGCTGCTTAGAGCCACAAATAATATAAGCAGCTCGCTAATGTGTTTCACATGTATTATTATAACATATAAAACTGTTCGGCAGAACAATTACAAGCAGCATCAAGAAACAATAAACTGGATTTTGTTTTAATCAGCGAACTTCTTCACAAACCGACTGTTAAGGTTTATCCGGCGGAGCGTCTACAAAGTCTTTCAGCATTGATTCGAGAGACTGTGAAACTGACTTGCAGTCAAGCAAACTTTCCACTTTCTCAGGAGGTTTGTGGTTGCCAAGCACAGTGTTTCCAAGTTCTGACGACTGTTCCGACTGATTGTCAGGATCGACATTGAATTCAGGACTGCTGTCGCATAAGTCAATCAGAGGCGGACGATACAAAACCGACATGGAATCAGATGGACAAAAATTTTTTTTCTGAAGCTTGCGGCGGCAAAGCTCATGATTTTCAAACCCCGATGTCCGCATCACCTTGTCGAGCAAAACAAGGTCAGTGCCGTCTTCGACGTCAGCTACAGGTCGATCGTTAAGGCGCAAAGTTTCCTCACCTTGAAACTCATCGCATGCACCCTGCGCTGCAACCTCTTGATGAGAACCTTCATTTTCCTCGAAGATACACTTCGCATCTGCCTGTAATAAAAAATATTAGATAAGAATCCATTAGTGTCAAATAAGGTTACTTCAGTAGGTGTTTTCTTGTTGTCGTCATTAAAGCCAGAATCGCCAGCATCAGGCGTTGGCTTTAAAGAGGTGCTCTCGTCGTTATCCATCGAATGCCATTCGATATTTTCTTTGCGATAAACCAAAGGCTCTGAATAAGGTACCGATGGCTTGGCAAGTCGCTGACAGATTGAGTAACCATCGTGACAGATTCGTGAAACGTTCGGACAGGCATCTTGCTGACCGGTTAAAAACATTGTCTCGGCGCACTGTATTGGTGACGGACAACCTGCGTTTGACACCAACACGAATCTGGTCAGGAGGCGGTACAGTGCGCATCTCATATTCGGCATTTTCCATGGGAACATTTCAGTACACTTCTCAGATTGGCAAAAGTTCATCAACAAGCGACAGACGAACAACTGCAGTTCTCGGTAAAGAGCGGAGTCGATAGCATTACCGAAATGGAGCAGAGCCTGGTCAAGCATGTCGCAGCAGCTGACAG